GGGAGGGACAAGGGGGGTGTTGAAACCCAAAGAGAGGACGAACTTAAACCCCCTGCAAAGTGAAAAACATCCCCTCCCACAGGGTCACAGAGATGTAGGGACAGAGCCTGAATCTCGCTCCACTTCCTGCCACCCTGGGCAGGCCACCTGGCCTTGGCTGAGCCAGTTTCATCTACAAAATGGGAGTAATTTGTGGGCTGTTAAATGAGATGCTATGGCTGAGCAGGACGCTGCTCTGACAGGAGGCTGACCGGCAGGGGGCGGCGGTCTCTGGCCTGCTATTAAGCTGGCCTCTGGGGAACCCTGGGAGGGGGCAGGAGGCTGGGGGAGAGTTTAGACCCTGAAAAGAGAAGCTCCCACCACCAGGAAGTGACGGGCTAGGCTCCAGCTGACCCACCAGTCCCTGCCACTCACCATCCAGCCCCAAGGCGTTCAGCAGCTGGGCGGCGATGCCCGACAGAGCGAAGAAGCCCACGGAGAGGCAGGAGGAGATGGTCCCCAGCACCTGAGCCGTGGTCTGTAGAGAGACGCGTCCCTATGTTAGTGCGGCTCCTCTCCAAGCCTCGCTGCCAGTCCAGGCCGGCCCGTGGAACCGGCTCCCACCCGCTGCTCAGCCAGGGTTTGTGGCCCGGGCCTCGGGGGGCCCCTCCCAGTGCACGGGCCGGGCCAGCAGGCTGCTCCTCCTTCCCGGGCCCTGACTCCGCGGACCTGCTGGGACACTGCTGTGGGAGTGGGTGTATGGGGGAAGCATCAGATCCCAGTAGGTGGGGGAGAGAGCTCGGCCCCGCCCTGAGCCGGCCCCGCCCCCACCTCTAGGGTGAAGAAATGATACAGGTCTTGATGTGCCAACTCACGACACTAGGTCACGTGCAGACTCTACAGTGACTCTATAGTGACCTGGTGACATGGGTTTGTAAAGATGGCTCCTTTCCCCGCCTTTCTGGCCAGAAAGGCAGGAACAAGGGAAAAACAGGGGTGGAACTAAGGGCCTTCAGGTGGAATTCAACCAATGGGAGCGCGAGAGGCAGGTATGTCTGCTTCATCGTGTGGACTCTGGGGCCACCAGGGGTGATGACACGCCGGACGCAGAGCGAGAGACGGAGTGGCTGCCAACGTCTCCTCCTGTATCTTCCTCGGTGTGTGCGGTCCCAGCAGGGACCCCCTCGCTCACCTCAGAGACCAGGTGCATGGTCTCCGGCCCGATCCAGGCATCCAGCGTCCCCCGCACGGCCCGGCCCATCTGGCTCAGGAGGTCAGCGGGGGCCTCTCTCTTCTGCCTGCCGGGCGGCACGAAGTCCTGGGAGGGCTCGGACGACGCTGAGTGGAGGAGGACGAGGGCCACGAGGACCAGCAGGAGGGCCTTGAACAGCTGCTTGCGCGAGGGCCACGTGCTGCCTGAACCTGCCATGACGGGTCTGCGGGGGGGTGGGGGGGAGGGGGCACAGGGTGAGCAGGGAGCCGGTAGGGAAACCCGCTGTCGCCACGCGGCACCCCTCCCGCTCCTGTCAGTGGAGAAAGGCAGACTGGCCGCCTGGGCTGGTTCCGGGATCCCTCCCTCTCACCCGCTCACACCCCTCACCCCGCATGTTAACTAACCGGGAGCATTGCTCAATGCCTTAGGGGGATGAGCGCGCTCTCTAACCCTCACTCCAGCTCTAAACGTCCGAAAGCCTGGCTGTGTCTTAGCTGCTTCGGGCATAAAAAATAATAAGTCTATAAGGCTTTGTTCCCATGGAGATTATAATCGACTTAAGACAAAGCTAATATAAAAACAACTTAAAAACAGTGCACACACAGGATGACCCCGTATAACGTCATCAAGAGAGCGCTCGGTTCCTGCTCTCAGGAAGATAACGGCGCGGGCTCTGCAGGGCCATCGCGGGAGGGCGCTGCCTCCTCGCCCTGTCCTGTTGGTGCAGAGGAGGAGACAGGAGGGAAGCGTGAGCCCAGGGTCCCTGCCGAGTGGAAAGGCCGGGCTTTGAATCTAGGCTTCCACTCTCGAATCACAGACGCGCTGGGGTGCAGGCAACACAGCAGATTGCAATGCGGCTGCTCCCTGGGGTCACCGGGAGCTTCGCCAGGGCTGGTGCTGCGTCCCACACCCAGAGGCGCTGGCGCTGCCTGGAGGTGCCGAGGCGTAGACCACAAGCTCCCGGGGACTTCACCGTGCGAAGGCGAGACCCCAGACTCAGAAGGCCCTCTGCTCCCCAGCCACCATGGAGCCAAAGGGTGAGAGCACCACCTTGAAGGAAAGATATTATTCCTAATAGAAAACTGCCCTGGCCGGTGTTGCTCAGTGGATAGAGCGTCGGCCGGCAGACTGAAGGGTTCAATTCTGGTCAAGGGCACATGCCTGGGTTGCAGGCTTGATCCCCAGTAGGGGGCGTGCAGGCGGCAGCTGATCAATGATTCTCTCTCATCACCGATGTTTCTCTCTCTCTCCCTCACCCTTCCTCCCTGAAATAAATTAAAATTAATTAATTAATTAAATAGAAAAGCCAGGACTTGAATCCAGGTACATTTGACAGCAGACACCTCCCTGCCACATGGCCACCAACGTAGCTACAAGCAAGTAGGTGCCTATCAATCATCTCCGTGACTTAGTGGGGACAAGTCACTTCACCACCTTGGGTTCTGTGCTCCATGTCATGTTCCGTGACGCTACAGGCAAGTTAGGGCCCAGCAAGCACTGACTCACTGAAGCAGGGAGGATCGGCCAAGAACCGTTTTCAGCACCAACATCTCTGGGCCGCCATGCTCCAGAGACGCCAATCAGCCCCCTTCCAGGCCCCGGGAGGAACCTGTAGCTCCGGGGTGTTCCCGGGACTCAGGCTAAGCCTGGGCGGGGGCAGCCGAGGGAGGAGCAGCCAGGGGCAGACAGAGAGCTGGCCCGAAATCACAGCCATCAGGAGGGAGGAGAGGGGACAGAGGACGTTCCCTTCCTTGCTTTGTGGGGAGGAAGAGGGTTCGAGAAAGGGTTATCTATAAAAATATCGAATTCGGGCACTTCCTGGCCCTGAGACAGCTGCTGGAGTCTCCCGAGGCCTGTGGGACCAAGCAGGGCCTGCGATTCCCGAGGGACGGCCCCAGGCTGGGAAGCCTTCTCCTGGTCTTGGCACAAATCAGGAAGCAGATGGCTGCTGCCTGCCGTGGTCCGGGGCTCCTGAGCTATCTGGGTCACCCGCACCCGGGACTAAAGGGCAGGCCTGCTGTCGTGGGTGGGATCCTATATCCCAGGAGCTCC